GTAAAAACTTCCATAAAGACAACAATGAGATTATCATCTCACCCCAGCAACAATAGCAAAATTCAACAGGACAGCAAACTGCAAATTATGGTGAGCTCTGGAGGGACTGGAACTCACACACTGCTGGTAGGAGGACTGTAAAATGGTACAACCACTATGGAAGACAGTCCGGTGCTTCCTTAGAAAGTTGGAAATAAATCAACAACGGGATTGAGAAATTGTGGTACGTTCACACAGTAGAGTACTATGCAGCACTCAGGAGCAATGATTTTGAAAAATACTATATAACATGGGAGAAGCTAGAGAGCATTATGCTGAGTGAACTAACTTGGGGATACGAAGACAAATACTTCATTAAGACCATTATTGTAAAAACAGTAAGATGTGTATGGATATCCAGAGAGGGAAGGGGAGTGGCAGATGGGCTGGGGAAATCACGATATTACAGAGTTTGGTGGGTGGAGGAAGGGGACAAAGGAATTAGGAAAGATGCAGTGGGGATCTGAAAAGACGCATTAATAGTGGGAATAGATCAATGGTGATTAATTTTATAAGACATGATATACGGGAATGGCAGCAAGAAACACAGTATCAATGGAGAAAAAGAAAAAAGGATAATTTTTTTAAAAATTGGAAATAGATGTACATTTGACCCAGCTATTCCACTCTTATGAATATACTCTAAAGAAACCAATGACACAAACCAATGTATGCACTCCTATGTTTATTGCAGAATTATAATCAATAATAAAGAGATAGAAGCATCCCAAGTGTCCATCAACAAACAAATAGAAAAACAGTGGTACAGTCACTCTGTGGAATATTATGCAGCACTGAAAAACAAAGAGCTTGTAAAACACTACACAACATGAATGAATCTTGAAGACATTAAGCTGAGTGAAATATCTCAGTTACATTAAGACAAATACTACATAAGACCATTGTTATAAGACAGGATGGGCACAAGGTGGGAGGAAAACAGGAGAAGAGTGGACAGGTAATAAGTACTGCACTGGAACAGGTAAAGGGATATCTGAAAGGAATGGATGATTAGGCATATGTATGACAATTAACAATCTGGAACAAGATGTGCATTACAGTGAATTGGGAGAGGGGGAGGGAGGAAAATATGTATCAATGAATGAGTGAAAAAGAGAAGAGAAAAACACGCCAAAAAACCCCCAAACTTGAAACTTGTGCCCACAATCTTCACCTTCAAAACAATAAGACAGAAAAACCCAGGCTGTTCCCATGGCCACTGAATCCACCAGTTGAGTTCCTCCCTGCTTGTATGACTTGCCTTAAAACTCCATATACACCAAAGCAGATATATCTCCACCCTCAATGGTTCTGAAACAGGCTGTGTTTATGAGTGTGTGGGGAGTCTGGGTAAAAAAGTACATGACACTGACTTAGCTCAAGTCTCCCCATGACCTCATTTTGCCTATTACACAATTTAGTAATAAGTCGGCTTGTACATTTTTGCCCGACTGCACCAATCTTCTATGTACACCTTTTGCCTTTGTATACTTTTTGCCTATATACACCTTTATTGGCCTTTGCAGATCACCGTATATATATACATTTATGTATTCAGCTTCTAAAATCAGCTATTGTTTTCCGCATCAAAGAGTAATACTGCCAGATGACACAAGAAACATTAAATCACTTTACAATGTGCTTAGATTAAAAACCAAACTCCTCTCCACCATCTCTATGCAGTCTGATGACAAGCTGACAATCAATATCCAGTCTTGGAAGGGAAAGCAACTTACCGGGACAGGCTATTTCAAGATGTAGTCCAGAGAGCACCAACTACAGACTACAATTTACAACAGAAGGTGTGCTTCTAGAAACTAAATTGCTCCTATCTCTTATCAATTACATTGTATACTAATCTCTTCCATCAATACCTCCTGTAGCTTTTTGTCTGTTCCTAAAACCAAGCTCGCTCCACTTGCCATTTCCTTTGTCTGGAACACTGCTCTAGATATTTGGATGCTGGTGTTATCACTCCATTTTTCCAGTTATTATCACTTCACCTTGTTGACTTCACAGCAATCATCACTATGACATTATCTTGTTCATATATTTAGGTGTCCACTGCCCTTCTCTTCTAAACTAGAAAGACTCAACAAGGCTAGAAACCTTGGTCCTCTAATTCTGGACTAGTTTCTGGCACAGGCACAGAGGTACTCAAATATGTGTTGATTAAATAACTGTGTATCGGAAAATATGTATTGCCAAGGTATCGCCTCTTCAAAGTCTTTGTACAGGCAAGATTTTTCCAGTAAAATAATTATGTTGTTGTGTGTGTTGTCAAGTTGGAACCGACTCCTAAATGACCCTTCAGCTATAAGCAGAAGCAGTTTTCAGAAACAGTAAATCACATTGGAGATGTTCCATCTTTCTCCCATGGAGCAGTTTGAACTGTGTCTCTTTGGGATTACAGTGCAGCTTCTTATATTAGGCCACTAGAGCTCCACTGTTGTTGTTATGTGCCAACGAGTCACTTACGACTCACAGCGACCCTAAGCACAAGAGCCCGAAACGCCATTCTATTCTGTGACAACCTTACCATCTCAAACACACTCATTTCCACCACTCCACTCACAGAATCGATCCATCTCATGGAGGGTCTTCCTCTCCTACATCGTCCCTCCATTCTGCCAAACATGATGTCCCTCTCCTTGCAACATGCCCAAAGTGTGTCAGATGAAGCCTCAGAATCCTTGACTCCAAGGAGCATTCTGGCTTCACCCTCTCCTGGACAAACCTGTTTGTTCTCCTAGCAGTCCATGGTATATTCAACACTCTTCTCCAGCACCACAGCTCAAAGGCATCAATTCTCTTCCTATCATATACATAAAAATAAGTATCACAGGAGAAAGATAGGCTATCTCCTCCTGAGCAATTTACTATCTCTGAAAATTCAATGGAGTCCATTCTATGGAGTCCAGCTATGAGTCTATTCCAACATGATGATACATAACAAGAATGCTGTTGCTATGTGCCACCGAATCAGAATCAACACAGAGCTGAACTTTAGCGCGTTTCTAGAGGCTGTAAAGTGTAGGAGAGGAGACTGCCCATCTTTCTCCTCTGAGGCGGCTGGTGGATCTGTACTGCAAGCCTTTGGGCTGGCAGCCAAACTCACTACTAGGATGCCAGAGCTGATATACATATTATGTACTGTCAAGTCAGAACCGACTCAAAAGCTCAGCTGGATTTTCAGAGGCTGTAAATCACATAAGAGAAGCTCGAATACCCTGCTTTTGGGCTGGCAGTGCAATTACTTAGCCACCAGAGCTATACATGTCTATATAAAACAAAAAACCAAGTCGTAGTCCTTGAGTCAATTCTGAGACTGTCACGCTTCTACTGAGGATCAGTTGGTGGGCTCCAACAGCTGACCTTTTAGTCAGTAGCTAAGTCTTAACCACTGTGCCACCATAACTCCCTAAAATACTAGAGATACCATTTTATTGGACTTTTCTCCTATGGCAAGAAAGGGTGTGACTTCCTGTTAAGTTCTTACATCATCCTTATTCTGAATGTAGTCCAATTTTTTTTTTTAAAGATTACGTTTCATCATACCACTTTCGGAGTTTGCTCCACTTGTGGTTCAGAACTGAAGTCTGAGACCACAGAAACCATTAAGGCTGTCAAACCTTTTACTTGATCTCTGATGTCCTAAATAAGCACTGTTTCATTAAAAGAAGGAAGGAAACCCTTTATCAGTCCACTATCTACTACTGCTTGGAGAAAACCAACAGCAAACTGTAGGCAAGAATCTTCCCTTGCTAAAGTCAAATATCACTTCCTTTACTGAGTCTTCATTTGCATCCATTCCTAGGACACACTATCGGCTAAAGAAGCAACATAGAAGACCCACAAAATCGCTCTGGAGTAAGTGACTTGAATTCTGGTTTTGGTTTCTTGAGCTGAACTTCTGGAAGAAAGGCTGGTTCTTTCTTAAAAGTGCAATTTTCAGGGTGCTGTACCAGAAGTTGGTGAATTCTTATTCGTCTTTGAAAAACACTTGGTTTTTTGGATTGGGTTCTTCCCCCCTCTACCCTTATCCACACAAGCTAAGAACTAGCCTGCTGTCCCAAAGAGCTGTGTGGTCCTGTGACAACGTGGGAAAGGGAGGCAGCTAGGGTCCGGCTTACAGTGCTGTTTTTGAAAACACAGTACATAGACCTCGTCAAGCAAACTACTAACGTGCTTCTATGGAAGTTAAATTTCTGGGAATCTCCTAACCTTACTGAATTGTAATTTTGGAGAATCATGCTTAGGAATCAGGATTTTCAACATGTCTCGCCCAACACATTCCGAGATACTTATGAAAAGTAGCTGGAGAAACAATGGGTAACCGGGTCCCCAAGAAAAGGGCAGGAAGTTGACTGAGAAGCAGGATGAGCAGTAAGTGGGTGGGGGTCTGGGGATGCAAGCTGGGGGGGGGGACAGCGGAAGTCAAGAGGGGTGCATGAAGTTGAGAGGTGAGAACAGGAAAGGCTCTGACACAAGACCCGGGCGGGGAGGCTGGACAGAGGTGAGGTCGCATTCACGGACTGGTCAGGATAGAGGAGAGGCGGGGATGCAGGGTGAGCGGGGTCCAGACGTGAGAAGGAGGAGCAAAAAGAGCAATAATGGGGTACTCTCGGACGGGTCAGGGCTGGAAAGAGAGGACAAGAAAATGAGGATTACAGAGAGTGAGGAAGAAACAGGTATGGATCCCCGTGGAAACTACAGCCGAGCTTCCCTCCGACCCAGCTGCTCTCTCAAAACTCCAGGCCTTGACAAGCCTGAGTGTGAGGAGCGGGATGAAGGCAGAGCAGGGGGAGTTTAGGAGAAGGCAAGCCCTGTCGGGGTTAACGCTCAGGCATGATATAGGGGTTCCAGAGGCGGCTCGAGACCAAGCATAGGGAGCCGGAAGGTCCTCGGATCCCCCGGAGGGCCCCGGTCCAGCTCCGGCTCCCGGAGTCTCCTTCACTCACCATCGCCGCCGCCATCTTGCATCCACGTGTCGCCGTGATGACGTCAGCGGAAATGGCGCTTCCCTGGTTACAGAGTTTCATCTATGCGAGGTGGCATCGAGATTCACTCACTTCTGGAATTGTGGCAACCAAAAGAGTAAAAGGACATTTAGCGCCCTCGTGGAACCTTGGTCTGGGTAGTTAGGACGTTGATTAGGTGAAAAGAGACAATCATGTAACTATGGGCGCCATGTTGGTTTCTGGCAGAGACAGCTTCCCTCTCCACCGCATTGTGGGTAGTGGTGGAATAAATGTGGAAACCGGCTAGCCTCTGGGCGCCATCTTTACTACTGGCAGTAGGATTCGTTGCCTGGGTTACCTGGACCCTTGGTTTGGAGACGAGGGATTGGCTTTGGCTCCAATAGTAGTTTGGTTCCGAAGATATTTTTAAAGTATATACTTAATTATTTCCTTGTTTATTGGCATCAGGATTGGTGGAAGATTCATCAACAACACAACTCTGCTTGCTGAAACTGAGGAGGACCTGAAATGCTTGCTGCAGGTCAGGGACTGCAGTCTTCAATAAGGATTGAAGCTCAGCATCAAGAAAACAAAGATTCTCACCGCTGGGTCAATTAGCAGCATCAGTATGGATGAGATTGAGATAGTTAACAGTTTTAGTTTCCTGGCTCCACAGTCAACTATCTTGGTACCAGCAGCCAGGAAATCAAGAGGCAAATTGCAGGGACCTCTCCAGAGTACTGAAGAGCAACGACGTCAGGCTGGAGACTAAGGTGCACCTGATCCGGGCTCCAATCTTCGCAATGGCATACTATGCATTGGCGAGCCGGACAGTGAGTAGGGATGATAGAGAAGTGATGCCTTTGAGCTATGGTGTTGAAGAAGAGTATTGAATATACAATGGACTGCTAGGAGAACAAACAGGTTTGTCCTGGAGAGGGTGAAGCCAGGCTGCTCCTTGGAGTCAAGGATTCTGAAACTCATCTGACATACTTTGGACATGTTTCAAGGAGGGACTAGTCCTTGGGGAGGGACATCATGTTTGGCATAGTGGAGGGACAGCGCAGGAGAGGAAGACCTTCGATGAAATGGATCGATTCAGTGATTGGGGTAGGGGAAGTAGTTGTGTCAGAGACAATAAGGTTGACACAGAATAGAGCAGGGTTTAGGGATCTTGTGCATAGGGTCGCTATGAGTCGCAAGCGACTCAACGGCACATAACAACAACAACATTATACAAAATAAACTGAAATCCCTCTGAGGATAAGAGCCTTCCCCCCACCCCCTTACATCTCTGCATATGCCTTCTCATCTGCAAAACAGGGAGACCTTTAGGGTAATACCTTCATTATAGACTTAAAACGAAGACTCAATGACCTAATATACATAGTATGTGATTTTGTGTTCCGGTGCCCTGGAGTCAGCATGACTCACATAGATAACAGAAATCTCGTCTATCCTAAGCCATCCTCACAATCTCCTCTGTTTACGGCTATTATTACAGTCACTGTGTCAACCTGTTTTGTTGAGTTGACAATCCTATTTTGAGGACTGGAGCCTACTGGCACTATGCCCAAAGTATGTGAGACAAAATGTCATCATCTTTGCCTCTAACAAACATCCTGATTGCACTTCCTCCAACACAGATTTGTTTTTTTGACAGTTCAGTGTGTATTTCATATTCATTTCCAAATCAACCATTTAAAGGTATAAATTCTTCTTTGGTCTTTGTTATTCATTGTCTAACATTCATGTGCACATGAAGCAACTGAAAATACTATAGCTTGGACCAGGTGCACCTTGGACTTTAAAGTGACATCCTTGCTCTTGAACACTTTATCGAGGTCCTTGACAGCAGATTTTCCCAGTGCATCATATGTTTAAATTTTTTCTTATTTTTTTTTTTTATTGCTGCTACCATAGGTTTTAACTGTGTGGATCACAACAAGTTTTGGATAATCTTGAGGAAAAATGGGAACCCCAGAACACTTGATTATACTTATGTGCAACCTATACTTGGATCAGGAAGCAGTCCTCAGAACAGAGCAGGAAAACACTATATGGTTCAAAATCAGGAAAGGAGTGGCATGTCCTGTCTCCTTCCCTTTTCAATCTATATGCAGAACAGATAATTCAGGAAGCAGTGCTTTATGAGGAGGAATGTGGCATCAGGATTAGAGGAAGATTCATCAACAAATTATGTTATGCAGATGACACAACCTTGCTGAGGAGGACCTGAAATGCTTGTTGCAGAAGGTCAAGGACTGTAGTTTTCAATATGGATTAAAGCTCAAAAAACGAAGATTCTCACTACTGGGCCAATTGGCAGCAACATGATAGATGGAGAAGAGATTGAGGTTGTTAACAATTAAAGCTTGTGTGGCTCCACTTGGCATCAGCAGTGAGGAAATAAAAAGACGAATTGCATTGGGAAAATCTGCTATTAGGGACCTCTCCAGAGCACTGAAAAACAACGGTGTCTGTCTAGAGATTAAGGTGTGCCTAATTCAGGCCATGGTCTTCATAATTACTTGCTGTGCATCAGAGAGCTGGATAGTGACTAAGGATGACAGAAGAAGAATTGATGCCTTCAAATTGTGGTGCTGGAGAAGAGTCTTGAACATACCATGGACCAAAAAGAAAACAAATAGGTTTGTCTTGGAAAGAGTGAAACCAAGTTTCTCTTTGGAGGCTAGGATTTTGAAGCTCTGTCTCACATACTTTGGACACATGGCCAGGAGAACCCGGTCCTTGGAGAAGGACATAATGCTCAAAAGGGTGGAGGGACATCGAAAGAGAGAAAGACACCTGATAAGATGGATTGATACAACCAGGAGAAGATAACGTAGATGAATGGGATCTTCTAAGACTCAAATCCCTATGCACATCCAAAAACTTCTCCAATAGGGTAAAAAGGGAAGCTGCTGACTTGGAAAAAGTATTCGGTAATAACATATCAGATAAGGGACTTATATCCAGAATTTATGAAATACTTGAGCACCACAACAAGATAAAGGTAAATAATCCAATAGAAAAATGGGCACAGGATATGAACAGGCACTTCACCGAAGACGACATTCAGATGGCTAACAAGCACATGAAGAAATGCTCAAAATCCCTAGCCCTAAGAGAGATGCAAATTAAAACAACTATGAGATATCATCTCACCCCAGTCAAAATAGCAAAATTTAAGAGAACAGCAAGCAACAAATGCTGGCGAGGTTGTGGAGAAACTGGAACCCTGATTCACTGTTGGTGGGAGTGTAAAATGGTGCAACTCCTGTGGAAAGCAGTATGGCGCTTTCTCAAAAAGTTGCAAATAGAGATACCATTTGACCCAGCAATTCCACTACTGGGAATATACCCTGAAGAGACCATAGCTGACATCCAAGCAGATATATGCACACCCATGTTTATTGCATCTTTGTTCACAATAGCAAGGAGTTGGAAACAACCTACGTGCCCATCAGCAAACGAATGGCTAGAGAAGCTGTGATTCGCACAATGGAATACTATGCTGCATTGAAAAACAAGGAACTCATGCAATATTATTCAAAATGGTTGACTCTGGAGAACATTATGCTGAGTGAAATATCCCAGTCACAAAAGGACAAATATTACATGATGCCACTGTTGTAGAATGGGACTAACCTCGGGGTTGGGGAGAGTCTGAGTAAGATGGGTTCAATAATGTATACTGCACTGAAACAGAGGAGGGAGAAAACTGTTTAAAAGAGATATGTGACTAGGTATTTCTGTCATCACAGGAGTCTAGAGCGATGGCTACATGGTGGAGGGGACCTGGGGGAGGGTTTGTAAAACAATGAAAGAATCTTTTCTTTTACTTTTCCATAATTTTTGACTCATGTACTTATAACTTGTTAGTTAAATTTGTGTCTTCTAGGTCGCAACACCCCCATGATTCATCTTCAAGGATATGAACATGTACGGCTAAGCACAATTAATAACTGTGCATCTAAATTCCAAAATCAATCTCCATAATAGTCTATGTGTTTCCTACTGCCAAAGGGGCCCTTTAGAGTAGTGAGAGAAGATCTTCACCCTGAAACCCACAGCGTCCCTTTTCAGCAGGAAGTAGCTAAGGGAATACGCCATCCCCTTTTCCTTATGAATCAGGGTGAAGTCTCTCTCAGGGAGAAGTGATAGGGAATGGCAAAGGACACACTGACAAAGGAGATTAATCAGAACTGACTTTAACAAGCACTGTGGCAATTGGACAATTAAAACAGACATTCGGATGGCGGGGGAAGAAGAACAAACTGGGGAGGAGGGTAGAAAGAATGGTGCAGCAATGAAGGAATGAAAACCCAAAATCCCTGTAAATGTTCATTAAAACTAATAAAATTTAATAATAAAATAAAAAAAAGATGGATTGATACAGTAACTGGGGCAATGGGAGTTGATTTGTTGGAATTAGTGAGACTGGCTCAGGACGGGGCAGGCTTCAGAGCTGTTGTACATAGGGTCACAGGCAACTTGATGGCACATAATAACAACAATAATAATAGGTTTTACTATGTTCTGTACATCTTTTCTTAACAATGTGTTCAGGGACATCTGATAGTAAGGTAAACTTAAACATCAACACAATAAACACAGTTACCAGTGAACATAATACTTTTAGGGGGTCATGGAAATGTTTAAAGGAAATTGATTTCTATTCTAAAAGCAGAAAAACAATATCACCTTTTGTTGTTGTTGTTATGTGTATTCAAGTCACCTGCGACTCATAGTGACCCTATGTACACTAGTCTTAAATCCTTCTCTATTCTGTGCCAATCTTATTGTCTCTGACACACCTACCCCCATTACCCCAGTCACTGAATCAATCCATCTCATTGAGGGTCTTCCTCTCCTGCGCTGTCCTCCCACCCTCCCAAGCATGACATCTCTTTCCAGAACTGGTCCCTCCTTGCAATATCTCCAAAGTATGTCAGACGAAGCTTCAGAATCCTAGCCTCCAAGAAGCAGCCTGGGTTCACCCTCTCCAGGGCAAATCTGTTTCCTAGCAGCCCGTGGTG